GTCATGTGAATTTTAAGGATAGATCCTTTCTTTCTTCTCTCTCTCTCTCTCTCTCTCTCTCTCTCTCTCTCTCTCTCTCTCTCTCCCCCTCTCCCCCCTCCCTCCCTCTCCTCCGTCCCTCCTTTTCTTTCTTCCTTTCATTTTTTGAGACAGGGTCTATCTACAATAGCCCTGACTGTCCTGGAACTCACTATGTCGATTAGGCTGGCCTCCAACTCAGAGATCTGACTGCTTCTGCCTCACAAGTGCTGGGATAAAGGTATATGCCAGCACACCTGGCTAAGGATAGATTCTTTTAAAAATTTACAGCTATTTATGTGTTTGTTTATTTATTTATTGTGTGTGGTGCCACTGCATGTGGAAGTCAGGACAACTTACCTGAGTTGGTTTTCTCAGTCCACCATAGGGGGCCCACATTGAACTCAGGTTACAGATTTGGGGCAAGTGTATTGACCCACTAAGCCATCTCAGTGACCAGGATAGATTCTTTTAACCCAAACATTTAGCCAACATATTGCCAATACATTTCTCTAAAGCATCATTGAAACATGAAATTGACATAAATGTTCTTGTCATATATTATAGTTAATGCTATAGTTATTTGTTATTAATATGTTAATATATTAATGTTACAGTTTTATATAGCTGTAATTTTTTGTACTGTCTTCAAAATTTTAGGTTTATTTTATACTAACAACACATTCTAAATTTAGATGGCTGAATATTTAAAGTGAAATGAGACATAATTCTATACAACAGTAAGCTTGTGCTTAATGAGAAAAGGCTTTGTTTTGCTTTAGTTTTTGTCTTTCTGTTTTTTTGGTTTTTTGTTTATATGTTTTGTTCTGTATTTTAGGCAGATCTTACTATGTAGCTTTGACTGGCCTGCAACTTGCTATTTAGACCAAGCTGGCCTTAAATCCACAGAGGTCCTTCTGTCTCTGCCTCCCAAGTGCTAGGATGTCTTTGTGTTTCAAGTTAGGGTCTCCTGTAGCCCAAGCTGGCCTGGAAGTTGAGGATGACCTTGAACTCCTGATCCTTCTACCTGTAACACTTGAGTGCTGAACTTATAGGTGTATACCATCATGCCTGGCTTGGTTTAGTTTTTAAATTTGAATTAATTTAATTCAGATGAATTAGAAGTTATTACAGTAATCCAACAAGAGGTGATGAATTGGACCAGAGTGGTAATAGTAGAGGGTATGAGAAGTAGTTGTATTCAAGATATAGCTTAAATATCTAATCAACAGGATTTATAAATGGATTAAGTATGGGCTATGAGGGAAGAATCAGTGGTGATCTTTTTTTATCTGGACAGTTGAAGAATAGACATTTATTTAGATGGGAAATGACATTTTTTGGGCAGGGCGGGAATATTCAGGAGTTAGCTTTTTAAATAGGTTAAGTTTGGATACTTGTCAGCATCAAAATGGAGCTATTAGGAGACAGCTGGCTATGTGAATTATCTTACTTTGTTTTCTATTGCTGTGATAAAGATCATGGCTTAGATCAACCTGGGGAGAAAGGGGTTATTTCAGCTTACATGTCCAGTCACAGTCCATCCTGAAGGGAAGTCAGTCCAGGAGCTTAAGGCAGGAGCCATGGAGACAGGAACTGCAGCAGAGACCATGGAGGAGCACTGTGTACTGGCTTGTTCTTGCCTTTCTTATACAACCCCGCCCCTAGTGGCCTGGATCCTTCAGCATTTGTAATTAATCAAGAAAGTGCTCTAGAGACTTGCTTACAGGCCAGTCCTATGGAGGCATTTTCTCAGTTGAGTTTCCTCTTCTCAGATGACTCAGTTGTGTCCTGTTGACAATCTAAGAAGGACATGAGCTGAGTGTGATCCAGAGAAACATCAGACTCTTCCGTATATTTAAAGGCATGAGGCTGCGATCTGTTTATCCAGTTAGGAAAGGTAGAGAAATGAGGTGGGAAGACTGAAGCTGAGGACTCCAGAACAGTTCAGAGGAGAGCCAGCCGGCCAGAACCGGAACTGCCAGTTGGCCAGGAAAAGACTAGGAGAGAGTGGCTCCGGTGCTGAACAACAGAGAGTTTCCCGGGAGTGTGGTCAGAGCATGTCAGATACTGCCGAGAGGTAACTGGGGTTGGAAGTTCAGACTTGACCTTGGATCCAACAACTTTAGTCCCAGCACTCGGGAGGCAGAGGCAGGAGGATCTCTGTGAATTCAAGGCCAGCCTGGTCTACAAAGTGAGTTCCAGGACAGGCGCAAAGCTACACAGAGAAACCCTGTCTCGAAAACAAACAAACAAACAAAACAAAACAAAACAAAACAAAACAAAACAAAACAAAACAAAAAAAGGCTATTCCTTAAGCATTATGAGATCCCCGAGGGAAAATGCAAGCAGCAGAGAGGAAGGAAGTCATTCATTTAAGACTTGGGGGATGAAGAGGTGGCTGACTGGTTAAGAGCTAGCTGCTCTTCAGCCCCCAGGTTTGATTCCCAGCACCCACGTGGTGGTTCACAACTGTCTGTAACTTCAATTCCGGGGGATCTGGCACCCTCTGCTGGCTTCTGCAGGCACTAAACGTACATGGTATGCAGACACAGGCTGGCAGAACACTCATACATATAAATATTAAATTTATAAAGAAACGGGGAATATTGCAATTGAAAGAGAAGTAACTAGGAATGAAGGAAAGCACAGATAGGTTTACAGACAAGAGGATGTGGTGTAATTTTGTGTGGATACTCTGATTTCCCTGCTGAACTGGGTGATGGGTGTCTGCTGAGGACTGAGAAGTGAGAGAAAGAGGTTAAGGAGTGTGATCAGGCTTTTTGTTGGTTCTAGTTTTTTGAGATAAAGTCTCGCAGTATAGCCTTGGCTGTCCTTGAACTCACTGTATAGACCAGGATGGCCTTGAACTCAGAGCTCCACCTGCCTCTGCCTCCCAGGTGCTGGGATGAAAGGTGTGTGCCACCATGCCTGCAAATGATCAGGCTTTGGAAGTTTGAGGATATAGATCATCTAAAGAAGGAAACTAAGGGAGGTGTCTTTCTAGTCAGTTCTTAAATGTTAGTTTCTGGTTTTCTCTGGGGTATCATTTTAGTACTGGCTGCCTTTTCATACCCTTGCTGGGTGATGTCCTTTTTGATTATATTGTTAGCTTCTAAGTGAAACATGAGAAGCTGTTAGTCCATGGAAGTTTAGTAATTGTTGTAATTTAAAATGTAACGCACTGTTTGTGTTTGAGGGAAGTGTGTTTGGTTTTGTTTGTGTTTTGGAACTACTGTGCTAAATTAGCTTGCAATTGTAAAGTGTTAAAGGCGTTGAAATCACTGCATCAGTCTTCCTGCTCCTGCTCTCTGTCACTATGAAGCTGGGTGGGGTGGAGGTCAGCAGGAGGCGCTGGCTTAGGATGTGTGATACTTTTGTTGTGATTGAAACATCTCAAAACAGCAAATAACAAAACTAATTAGATATTTTTTTAAATATTAAAAAGGCCCCAAATAGGATTGCAGAGATGGCTCAGCCATTAAGGCTACGCTCACAACAACAACAACAACAATGGCCCCAAATCTCTCCACTTGGCGTTCTGAAAACACGAACCTCAGCTGCTTCAGCTTTGGTGGCAGGAGCTGCTTTTTGAAGCAGGCGGCAGTAACTGCAGACACTCACAGTTTCTCATAATGCTGAGAACAAGTAACTGTTTAATGTTCATGTGTAAATGGAGCCTCTGTCTCACTCCCTCCAAGACTCAGGGAACATTGTAGAAGGAGGGATTGAAAGAGTAGAGCAGCCAGAGGTTGGGGCAGAGTGTTAGGCAATGTCTTCTGGATGTGACATGGCTATGATGACCTATATAAGACCTACACATTATTGGGCCCATCAGCATCTCATCATGGAGTGGGGAGAGGGAATCATGAGCTCCCCTGCCCAAGGGGCTATAGGTCATGAATGATTATTGGAGGAGGGAGAGATGTTTTCTTCAGTGGCATAACTCTGGAAAGGTACCCCTATGCTCCTACAAATAACCTGCCACCTATAATGAAACTCACTGGATCACAAAAAGAAAAAAAGACATGAAATGAAATAGATAAGTAGGAGCTGGAGAAAGACAGGAGAGGGTATGAAGACCAGGTGAATATGCTCAGATACATTATATGCATATAAGAAAATGACATACTGGAAATCATTAAGTGTAATTAATATATGCTAATAAAACCGTAAGTTTTACTATGAATATACTATAAATTTGGATACTTTATGTTCACATTATACTTCATTATTCTATATAAGTAATAAAGATCCATCTGGTTTTGTATATTGTAATATTTCATTGGAAAACAAATTCACAACTTGGATTGGGTTTGAGGCAAACTGGCCATAAACAGATTTTTTTTTTTAAGTTTCTCTATGTAGCCCTGGCTATCCTGGAACTCACTATGTAGACCAGGCTGGCCTTAAACCTGGAGATCTGCCTACCTCTGCCTCCCAAGTGCTGGGATTAAAGATATGCACCACTACTTCCCAGTCAGATTTTTTTTAAGTGGCTAAGTTTAAAAAGCAAGTAACAAAAGAAAATGTTTCTGGTACAATAGCAGCATCACAAAAAATAGTGTAAAGTACCTGCATAAAACACTGTTGTATGATGCTGCAGCTTTTTTGCTGTTGTTGTTAAATAGATAAAACTATTTCATAAATTTCCTGTAAAATACAAAAAATATTATTTAACAACTGATTATATTCACTCCAACAAAGAGGTTTGTATGTATTTTCAGTTAAGACTTCTTGGTTTGGTTGTTTGTTTGTTTGTTTTGTTTCTTTGGTTTTTTTGAGACAGGGTTTCTCTGTGTATCCCTGGCTGTCCTGGAACTCCGATCCACCTGCCTCCCCCTCCCAGTGCTGAGATTAAAAGTGTGCACCACTGCCCCAGGTATAGTATGTATCTCAACGTAAATTAGCAGAATGGGATCGGACCATTGGTGTCAACTTGAGACTCAGAGCTTTGACTTCCTGTTTTGCTGTCCTTTCAGGTAACATTTCACTTGTTGCATTTCCAGTTTCCAGCACCAACTCACCAACAAAGATTTTACCGAAAACCTTAGGGCCAATAAATGTGAATGTTGGACCCCAAATGGTAAGAAAACTATCAAATCTTATTATTGACATTGTGCTTAGGCAAGACTAATTTATAGAATAATTACATTGAAGATGTTTGGCAAAATACTCCCTTTAATTTTAGTTATCTCATTTATTCTAAATAAAAGTTTTACTTTTATGTGCTTGTAATTGATTAAGTATTAATAAAAGTTTTTATGCTCTTAATGTTTAGTTTTAACATATTTTAATCTGTGGGTTCTGAATGTGTACTATTAAGGTTTTTGCTCCCTTTATGCAGCCTCTCCTTTGTTGTTTAATTAACTTGAAATTATTATATTCTACCTGCCTTCAGTTTTCTTTTTCTTTTTCTTTTTCTTATGAAATAACCTTTGTGGAAACCATGAATTCTCATATAAATTGGTTGTGTAACTGAATTTATAGGTGTGTGCCACTATAATTAAATTGAATTTTTAGTTGGAGCTATAGATTTCAATTTTTTTCCATTGAAGGATTATTGTAGGCCAGCTCATACTTGAACTTTCATGGGGAGGCAGAGGCAGGAGGATTACCACAAGTTTCAGGATGACCTGTCCACCTAGTGAGTTCTGAGTGCATAGTGTAGCCCTGTCTGGAGGGAGAGAGGGACCCGGCACAGAGCAGGAAAGAAGAGGGGAAGAGGGAGGGTGGGGGGACAACAGTATGCCATTCTAATTCTTAACCTAGAAATAGTGAGTGAAAAGTAAATGTGTGTTTCTCTAGAGTATTCATTAACTCTGCTAGACCTTGAGATATGGAGCACTCTCAGAAAACCTTGTTTACAATCACAGCTGCATTAAATTACTCTTTCCTGGGATCAAAACTCGGGTTGTCAGGCTTGGTGACAAATACCTTTACCCACTGAATCGATTATTTCAAAGGAACTATATTTAAATATTAAAGAAAAATTCTTCATTGTCAGTGTTTATATCTTTTTAATATAGAATAGTACCAATAAATTTTGTCAGTAACAGCATTCTGTGGATTATGTTGAATTCAAAGTTTAGGTAGAACTATCTTTTACATTCTTACTGGTTTCTTTACTTACTGGAAGTCTTTATAAGGTGTTATAAGAATGACTTTTGTTTTGGTCAGGTGAAGACAGTTAATCATCTGCAAAATTCAAGTTAAAGAGAAAACAATTTACTGTAAAAGTATGTGAAAAATGTAATCTATCCCCAAACCCCATAGAGACTGAGACTCAAATAAATTGTCCGAATTTGAAAGTAGCTCAGGGGAAATTGTCCAACAGTGGCTAAGCATTTGCCCCCCTCTGTAGATGTAACCAATCGTCTTATTAAAATAAGAAACACAGAACCAATGTAAAAGAGAAAGCCGAGAGGTCAGAGCTCAGCTAAAATCTTACCTCCTGCAGTGCTCCTAGCTTCCCCGAGAGAGAGCTACTTCCTGTTTGTCTGTCTTTAAATAGTCTTTCTGTTCTGCCTTCTCATTGGTTGTAAACCCAAACACATGACTGCCTCGTCACTGCCTGTAAGTACGGCCTCCAGGTCTTAAAGGCGTATGTCTCCAATACTGGCTGTATCCCTGAACACACAGAAATCTACCTAGCTCTTCTACCCACCACACTCTTGCTATGGCTCTAATAGCTCTGACCCCAGGGCAACTTTATTTATTAACATACAATTAAAATCACATTTCAGTACAAATAAAATACCACCATACCCCTCTCAGCTACTAAAGTGGGTATAAAGGAGATGAGACACTAAAGTCTGTACTTTGAGATGTAATCATGTAAGTACTAACATGAAACAGATTTTATGCCCATGGTACACTTAGAATATGCCTATGTTTGGAGAGCTCTTTCCTTCCTTAGATAGGATGACTTTGAGTTCCTGGTTTTCCTGCGTCAGCCTTCTGGGTGCTTAGGGAAAAACATTCAGATCGGGTTCCTGATGGAAGTTAGAAACATTTCACCAGGAAAATGAAAGAAAAGCCATCCTGTGACAAGATGGCAAAGAACTTAACTGAAGTGTGTATGTAGTCCTGGTGTTTTGTAGAAGGAAGAACTGATGAGTAGTGAAATAAGTATAGCATACGGAGGGTGATGTATTTATTACTTCTCTTTACTGATGATAGTATTTGAGAGGGAGTTAATGAATTTATAATCCGAGGGAAACAAAATTTTAAGGATTTGAAAATTCTCGGCTTCACTTTGTTTGGATTATTTTCTTGTAGCCGTTTGTGCTGTGTTTGTTGGTGGAGGACTTGGGGTTAGAGGTGGTTTCTAGAGTGTAGCCCTGGCCAGCCGACTGCCTCAGCCTCCCGAGTACTGTGAGTATAGGTATGCAGTACCACCCTGCTGGTCATACTTTAAATGGGAAGAGTTAGAAAGCGCTTCTGAACAGAGCAGTAAGGAGATGGCCAAATGACCTTTGGTTAATGGACATAAAATACAGAGGTGTGAAAACCTGTGACAAGAAGATGATGAACCTGAAGACATTCCAGGGATTTTATGTGCTGCCTCTCCATCCAGTGTCCCAGAGCTGTAGGGAAAGAACAGGAGGAGCAGGGGCATGTGTTAATCCATGCCTGGCACTGCCACCTTCAATTCTGGGAGAGAATCCTTAATCATTGCTGTGTGGCTCTGAGGTCCTCCGTACAGTGCAGGCATAGTAGTCAGGCCTTCAGAGGGTGGAGGTAGCAACACCTTGGTGGCAGTGTCCATGTGTCCTTCTCCACTAGGCTACAGAGTGCTGATTCCACCCAGATTTCAAAGGACCCCTCGGCAAGCCTCAGGGACCAGGTAGGTAACTAGTGCAGGGTTATGGCCACTCTGGAGAGACCTCACTAGAATGCTTAAGGGGGCTGTGGGATGGGGCCACCATCCTCAGCAACCTGGCTACTTTCCCTCCCTGGAACTTTAAGGATTTAACTTGGCCAGAACCTGAACTTGTGGCTTCCACACTGAAATGAATTTCAGGACTAACCACTTTATGAAGCAAAATTGGGGATTTTTATTAAAGAATTCATATTTTATGTGAACGGGTGTTTTCCCTATGTGTCTGACTGTGCACTATGTTCGAGCAATGCCCGTAGAGATCAGAAGAGGATGTGAGATCTCCAGAAACTACATTAACAGGCTGTTGTGAGTGACCATGTGGGTGCTGGGAATCAGACCTGAGTCCTGGAAGAGCAGTGAGTGCTCTTACCACAGTCTTCTGTTCAGCCCCATTATTAAAGCATTGGGGTTAGGAAAGAGATGCTCAGAATAAAGTAAGGCATACTGGAGAGGATGGTTAGAGAGAGAGTAGCAGCTTCTGGTTTGTACAGTAGTTAGATACAGCATTTTTTTGGCATTTGAAGTTAGTATGTTATTACTGGGTGTTTGGGGTGGGGGGGAATGGGACCTGATAGTTGATGAGATAAAATCTTGGCCCACAGAAATGCAGGAAACGGTTTCATTTGCGGTTCTCAGGCAATGTCTGAGGACTGGAATGGGGGCCTACCCAAGGTCATATACGTTCAGGTTTTAGGCCTAATTTACTTGTTACCTTAAGATAAAATGTCTACATATGATGGAAATATTATTTCTGTGTTAGCAACCTTCGTAGCAAATGTTGATTGTGCTGGAGTTCTTACTTTTCATTTGGCGAGAGACTTTAACCAGAGCTCCTGGGTATAAGCTGCTTCCTGCCCCCCAAATTTCCCCATCCTTCTCTCTTGTATCAGGTGTGTGTGGGAAAAGCATTCCACAGTTTAGACCCTACAGCTCCCTGTGAAGATGGTGTGGTCTGAGATCTGACAGATCTATAACCTTGTGTGTTTCTGAGGGGCATCCAAGTCCCTCGGGAACCAACTGGTAAAAACAGTTAACCCTGATTGCAGTATGTGTGTGCTGCCTCTACCCTGTTACCGAAGCAGCTGCCTAGAGGCCCTGGGGTGATACACCTGGCCGTGCAGCAGCACACCTGGGCAGAAATCTGTGTCCAGTTCTGCTGTGCCGCTTTGTTTTCCTTCTGTCCTTCCTTACAGCTAGGTCAAGGTCTGTGGCTCGAAGACTATGGTAGTGTTAAGGGAAATTGTGAGTCCTGGTGCCAGAAGTCAAGTTTAGCACAGTTTATATCCTCCACGTGGCCACTGGCTAGAGATACATGGGGTGGGGGTGTAACAGTGCAGATATGCAAGTAGCTGCATCAAAGAGAGGCTCTAGAGATGTGGAGGTGCATTATCTCGTTGAGAATACAATTATTGCTGGACAGTGGTGGTGCACGCCTTTAGTCCCAGCACTCGGGAGGCAGAGGCAGGTGATTCTTTGTGGGTTTGAGGCCAACTTGGTCTACAGAGTGAGTTCCAGGACAGCCAGGACTGTTGTATAGAGAAACCCTGTCTTGAATGGAAAAAAAGGAAGGAAGGAAGGAAGGAAGGAAGGAAGGAAGGAAGGAAGGAAGGAAGGAAGGAAGGAAGGAAGGAAGGAAGGAAGGAAGGAAGGAAGGAAGAGAAAGAGAAAAAAATAATTATTCTTTTATAGGCTTAGTTTATCTTCAGTTAATCAGCTTTTCTAAGGAATGGTCTCCTAGCCAGATGATTGTCAGGTCCAGCTGGATTAATGCTGTTTTAAAAACTGTGTTATCTTTTTTATGTGTATAGGTGTTTTGCCTACATACATGTCCTGTGTACAGTACCCATTGAGGCAAGAAAAAGTAGTCATATCCCCAGGAACTAGAGTTACAGACAGTTGTGAGCTGCCATGCCGGTGCTGGGAATTGAACCCTGTGTCTTCTGATAGAGCAGCTAGTCCTGTTAACTGCTGATCCATCTCTCTACCCCCAGTTGGGTTAACTCTTCAAATTAGGGACTATAGTATGTAATGGTTTAGACAGCATTGTTTTTCATCTAGGGTGAATTAGAAGTCAGATTCTAGTTTGTTTTGTTTTGTTTTGACCAAAAAGTCATAGTTTTCCTTTAGTGGGCCTAACCTTGACAGCTCTGCTTTTGTGTATGGCACTTTAAATCTTGAGAGATTTCCTTGGTAGTGTTCCC